CCCCCCCTCCGCCACTCGCTCGGCCCCCCGTGCATTTTCGCTTTCATTTAGAAGGCGAGGGTGGAGCGGAGGGTTGGAAGTAAAAAGCGTCGCGAGTCCACGTCCTTCGCATTTCACTGCGCGGCCAAAAAATATCCACCTGGACGGCTGCACTGGAGGGTGGTTGGCGCGGCCGCGGTCGATGCAGCGAGTGAGGGCGCTACCTTCGTGCCCGCTGTCCGCCTGTCCTGTCGTCCCTTCAGCTGTCCGCCTGTCCAGCCGTCCCTTCGGCTGTCCGTCTGTCCGTCTGTCCGCCCGTCCCTGACCACCCGCGTCCCCGGCTATGAAATGCGATATCGAGAGTCCCCCAGGTTTTACGGCTGCGCTCGGCCTCGTTAAGCCCGGCGCGCCGCGCGGTCCGGCCGGCGGGTCCGGTACGCGCGAGAGCTCGTTCGAGAGCGAGAGAGAGGGAGCGAGAGATCGATGTGAGAGTCGGAGTGGGACATAGAGAGAGTCTCGAAAGCCCTCATTACCCGGCCGTTGCTAGCCGAGCGCAAGGAGCTGTGTGCCCGCTGCCGCTGGCCGGCCCGTCTGCCATGGCCCAAGAAAGTGAGATGATTCGCTCGTCTGCTCTGCGCTCTCCCCGTCCACCACGATGGCGCTCTATTTTTCATCCCCGCGGCTATAAGAGCCCTCTCTCCCCTCGGCCGTCACGTGATGTCCCTCCCGACGTGCGCCTCCCCCCTCCCCGCCCCGCCCGGTGACAGCCAAGGGACGACGAACGACGACGCGCGCGCGTAGTAGGGCCCTCGCGAGGGGGAAAACGTCGAAAGGGGCGCAAATGTCCGAATAGAATGCGGCCAGGGAAGGGAGGCGGGCGGCGGGGGCTTTTAAAAAGTAGTTGGCGCCCCGCTCCGCTCCCCTCCCCTCCTCGCCCGCGGCGGTCCGGACGGGCCTCCCTCCCCCTCCCCCTCCGCTGGCGTGCCGATGTGCGCGTTGTCCTGTCGACGGACAGGACAGGACAGCACGCCTGTCGTAATAATGGGATTTTACTTTTTTATTTTCTTTTGTCTCTGCTCCGCTCGGTTGGTCGGTTGGTTGGTGTCAGCTCGTCTTTCTCTTACTCTTTCCCCCTTTTTTTTCCCGCCCCACCATTCCCGCTTTCTCTTTCCCGCTCACACCAACTGAGTGTGTGTGCGTGTTGCGGGAGGGAATGGGCCTGCAAAAAATAAAAAGCGAGAACGATGTGTCAAGATTTTTTAGACAGTCCCTTGTGGTCTGTCTCTACCCGAAGGTAAAAGTTTCCAGTTTTGATAAAGATGGCCGATTAACCCGATTAACGTTCCAGTTATGATAAGCCGGTTGACGTTGATAATATAGATTTAGCCAGCTCAGCTCCAGCCCAGCGAAGCCCAGTCTGCCTAAAGTATATATTCTGTGGGGAGG